CTCACATTGTGGCCCCCGCTTTTAATTGGCTAAAGTTTGTTTATATTCTCTTCTTTTTTTTTTTCATTTTCAATTTTCTTTTTTTTTGGTTGGGAAATACAGCGCATGACCACGTGATTATGGGAATCGTGTTTGTGTTTGGGATTGTGTTCTTTTCTATTCTCGTGCACTACAGCAAACTCTTTTTTTTTCTCTTTTATTCCTACGTGTTACGTGAGGAACAAGAGTATTCCATTAGTAAACTTTTTTTTTGTCCTTTTATTTATTTATTTATTATTATTATTATTATTATTATTATTATTATTATTATTATTGTGGTGAATTTGTCCTCTGTTATGCCATTCATTCTTCTTATAAGTATGTTGTTTTTGGTTGACATTATTTATGTACTTGATGATGAATTATAGTATCATACTACTCCATATGATTGTATTACTGGATCATGCATGTGATTTTTCCATTTATCTACGAGTATATAATGCATGCATCACTAAATCACTAATAACCAAATTTGTTCGTTGGAATAGGTAGAAAACTCACGTTGTAACTTTAAAATCATGAGTTTGAACCACGTTAACTATATCTGCTTAGTAGTAGAAGGATTCCCTTATCCATGTAAAGTTTTTATAAATAATTTTTTACCAATACAATCAAGTATACTTCGTACAATGGTCAAACTAATACATTGGAAAATAATTGGAAAAAAAAAAACTTTACTCGTAGTAACAAATACATTAAATATGTAACTACTCCGTTGGAGCTTTCCTTTTCAAAGTCTTTAGGTAAGGTCATGCATGTTGCTTCAAGTTCCTTTTGGGTTATATTAAATCGTTTAATTCTTTTCGGATGCATGTTTGGTCAGATTATTCAAGTCAAATTTTGGATTTGTTTAATTTCAGGTTCGGGTTGTGTCAATAAAAAATGGGATCCATTATTTGGATTAAAACCGAAATCCAATCCAATCCAAACTAAATTATTAATTAGGATCGGATTAGAACTTCAAATAAGATCGGATCGGACGAATATTTTCAAAAATTCGAATTTTCGGATTGGATTGGATTGACCTTGTTCGGATCCAAAAAACCGAAATAACCAAAATATGAAAGCGTTAGTTTATAAATAAGAATTGTTAATATTAATCATGTTAGGCTATATTTATGATTATATTAATATTGATCATGTACACCTGTGTTTTCAATACTTGTATTAATCGTGTACAATTATACTTTCAGGAATTGAATTTCTATTATTGTATTTTTAAAATTAGCAACGTAAATTAATTTAGATTTTCGGATTGGATCCAAATAAACGAATTATAATTCGGATTGGATTTGGTGAAGAATTCAGATCAGATTGGATTTGATAACTGAAAATCGAAATTTATTTCGGATCGGATTGGATTTGGGCTAAATTCAAACCGAAAACCAAATGGACACCTCTAGTTCGGATCAAGTTCATATATAACTTAATATATACAACTAATATAAGTATTAAGATACAACTAATACAAGTATTAAGATAAACTAATACAAATATTAAGATTTATTTATATTCTTTGAAATTATGCTACTCACTATTCATTTTATTTCATTCTTTTTGTTTAGCTCACTTTGTTTTATTTTATGTATGCCAACTTTGTTTATCATATTACCCTTATACTCTTCAATAATTATATATTTCTATGTACAACCTTTTACTTTAGGAAATTTTGTCATTTACTACCTTTAAAATGCATTGCTTTGAAAATAACTACCTTAACGATTTATTTATTTATTTAAATACCACTAAAAGTCAAAAAAATTTGATTTTGCTAGAACTTAACGTTTTTCGTTAGAGTTCCGTTAGTAGCCACGTTTAAAATATTTTTCTTTGATTTACGTGCCAAAAGTTGTTCCTTTATAGAAAGATTAAAAATAGGATCAAAGTGAAAATGTGAGGATAGAAAGTAAAAGAAAGTAAGGAAGAGAAAAGAAAATGTGGCTTCCCTTATCTAGTAAAAGAAACTGTTTTCCACTCGTTAACAAACCAAACAAAATAAATGGGAAATGGGAGAAAAAAATTTAAAATTATTTTCTATAAAAACATTAATATATATCAAAGCAAAGGATAGAATAACATGTTGATTTGTTATTATAAATTCTCAATGAATTACTTCCTCCAGCGGTATTTAATCAATATTGTTGTTGTCAAGGAATACATTGTGCTGATTTTCATTTTCATTTTTTTTTGTAAACTCTGCTTTAGTGTGTATTTTATTCACGTTATTAGACCCGAACTTATCTGAACTGAATTTATCTAAACTTAACTAAACTTATTTGACCTTATTAAAATTATTAGACCTTATTGAACTTAACTTATTGTACCTTATTATTAGACTTGATTAGAACTTATTGTAACTTATTAAACCTTATATAAATTAACTCATGTAATACTGATCTAGTAACCCCTATAACATTAACAAAGTAACAACTAAAATAGTTGGCCACACGGTATAACCAACCACATATAAGAGGTTGTGTAAGAGTTAAGACTCCATCCAATATTGTTCGTTATATTTGACTTTGTAAATTTACATATATTTGATCATTAAAATATATTTATTACGCATAGATATTGTGAAATTTGATGTGTCTTTCATTATTGTCATAAACATTGATATAATATATGTGAGCCATTTCTAATATATCATTCATGTCATTATGTAGACAAGATTTGATCCCGATTTATGTATCATCCATCAAGATTTTAACCAATTAAACTAGCTGATCATCCACGTACTAAATTAAATAATCACATCACATATTAATTAAATAACACATCTACCAACCTACACACCCAATGTAACTCTTATTATTGAGATTAAGACATAGGACAAACCTTAAGGAAATGAATAAGATTAATATACTTCCATACAAAACTACCGAGACAAAATTTATATTTATATATGACAAAGTGGTTAAGTGATTTATAAAACTTTCTCTCGTCTTAAAAAATAAGATATTGAAGATTGATTTATTATGGTAAATACAAAAATCAAAGTGGGGTATGATAGAGTAGATGTGAATAAAAATAAACTATTAGTGGGATCTAATGGATAACAATTGAATAAATAAATAGATTAAGGATGCTAACTTATTAAACCTGATTTATCATGATTTTCACCTTAGATATATATTTTTCCCGTTCTAGTAATATTGCAATAATTGGACTTTTGTACTATTTATCATGCTTATTTGACCACAAATTATGATTTATACGTAAAGTAAAATATAGTCATGTGAGGTCTTGTTAGATTTGTCTCGTAAAATACTTTCACAATATTTAGTTTTTATGATTTTTACACTTATATAATTATAGATATTTAACATATAAAATGTGTTTTGGAATGCATAATTTCATCCTTGTTGCAATATTTGTGGAACAGAGAAAGTATACTTCTAATTGGACTTGATTAGTCATGAAACCTTTATTTTTCTAAGATAAATAATCAAACGGCAGTGAAATATTTTATTTAGAAATAATAATTAATATAAAAATGAAACTTTTATTTAAAAAGGAAAGGGAATATACTCCCTTTGTCACAAAATGACTGATAAGGTGATTTTTATTTTATTTTATTTTATCTTTTTGAAACTTTTTATATATTAACTTTGATCTCCTAGTTTATTAGAAGCGTATTAATAATAAAATTTATCATGAAATATGTTTTTAATAGGTAATAACATAAAGGTTCATGATATCAACTTTTACTATTTCTAAGAAATGTTTAATTAGTGCATTAACATGCATGTAATGTTAAATTGTGTTTATTATTCTGAAATAGGATAAATACAAATTTTAGTGGCAAAGTCAAATAATACAATTATTTTACAAGTAAAAGATTACTCCCTCCGTTTTTATTTAAGTGTTGTAGTTTGGCTTTGGCACTATTCACCTGTACCGCTTTGATCAATGTTTGTACTTTATACATAAGATAAAATATAATTAAGTAGTATTTGTTAACTGTCTCAAAACATATTTTCTAAATATCAACTTTTTACATCCTCCGTTTCTTTTTAGTTGCATCACTTTCTTAAAACGAAAGTTTTGAATTAGTTGCATTACTTTCGTTTTTAGTTAATAAACTCTATTGATCTCTAGTTGCGGATCCAAAAAAAAATATTCAACGGGGTCAAAATATATTTAATCAATTTTAATGGGGTTAAATGAGTAATTTTTATGGAAGAAAAACTCAATTTCTTAAGAAAAAACTTAATTTTATAGGAAAAAAATGGTCAAGTGGGGTCAACATCTGCCTCTATTGATCTTTCTCCTATCATATGAGTCCATTTTATTACTCTTTATTTGTCTCATCTCCAAAAGTTGCCTAGGAAACCACAATTTGTAAAGTGATGCAATTAAAAATAAAATGAAGGAACTATAATTTATACTTACAAATAGTTAAAGGAAAATGCTATATATAGCCCTTAGGGCTACATATAAGCATTAAATATACACTAGAAAATCGTATAAATTTAAAAAATCATAAAAATATAAACATTAATTACACTGATTTACGCGTGTTTTTGTCATGAATTCCTAATTTTATACAATTTTTAAAAGTGTATTTAATGCTTATATGTAACCTTACATATAACATTACCCATAATTAAATTTGTGCATTAATAAATGTGTCACTCAAACCGAACTACCGAAGTACTTAAATGAAAACAGTGGGAGAGTAAAAAGTGAAACAAACACATATTCCCTCCGTTTTTTATTTATTTGCATCACTTGGTGATGCGCGTAGTTTTAGGGGAGATACTATAATATTGTGAGTGGGTGAATAATTCATTATAGTAAAAGTTATATGGGAACCATGATAAAGAAAGAATGTGAGGGAGAGTAAATATTTTTATTACATAAGTGGGGACTATAAAAAAGAGAGAAATAATAAAATAATTTAAGTGAGATTTAAAATAAGAGAAAGAATAATAAAATATAGTATAAAGTAAAGTGATACATTTAAAAAAGAAACATCCATAAAAAAAGTAATGCATTAAAAAAAAACCGGAGGGAGTATCATTATTTTCACTACAGGAGGATCACTAATTCACTACACAACTCATACCATATTAAAGCACCAAAACAAAACTCTTTTTTCTCTCTCCTCTTTCTCCTTGTTCTTGTTCTTGTTCTGTAAGATTTTGGGTGTGGGCAGTAGCAGCAGCAGCAGCAACAGCAACAACAGAGGAGAGAGAAAGTAATGCACAACAATTAGTAGTAGTAGTGAAGACCAAGGAAAGTGCTACTACTGGTAGTTGTCTTTGCAGTTACTCTCATCAACAACTTCAACTACAACTGATTTTCCTTTCCTTCTTTTTCCTTTTCCCTTTCCCTTTCCTAAGCATTCCTCTTCAATCTTTCTCAATCATCCTTTTCCCACTGTGCCGTCTCAATTTTGTTGCTGCATCCTTTTCCTGATTACCCCTCATTCTGTTTGCTTCATCTGGGTCATCTCTAATCAGTTCTAATTACTTACCTGCTTCCGAATCCAAGCCGATTTCATACGGTTGATTGATGATGGAAGGCGGCGGCGGAGGCGGTGGAGGTGGAGAAGAATGTTGTGTTAAAGTAGCTGTTCATATTAGACCATTAATTGGTGATGAAAAGCTTCAAGGATGTAAGGATTGTGTTACTGTTGTTCGTGGCAAACCTCAGGTATGATGCATTTTCTTTCTTTTTATTAGAATTTAAGGTATTAAAATTGTAAATCGAGTTATAGATGATTGATTTGCTTACATTTAATGTTGTTTTAAGTCTGAATTATGGTTGGATGTGTGTGATCTAGATCTTATCAATGGTAGCTGTAATTTCAGTGTGAATTTTTTTTTTCCCTACCTTTTTCTCACTTTTCTTAGGGGCTGTTTGGCTGAACTTGTTGGAATGGTTTTATTTGTTTGGTTGGATTTAAGTATGGAATCTCATACCTGGGGGATTCTAACTCCACCCCATTCCATTGGAATCTCATACCCACCTCCTCCCTAAGGATTCATAATCCATATTATTACTGAAGTATGAGAATCCATTCCATGATTAAACCAAACAACTTTAGATTGGTATGGGATATAGAATCCATACCTCCCAAGTATGAGAATCCATACCAATCCATTCCAGCTTATTGAACCAAACGACCCCTTAGAGTAATCTAAGAATAATTTCTTTTGAAGGGTGTTTTTGTATTTCATTGAATGTTTTTATTTAATCTATAACTAAACTCGGTACTAATAGTCACATTGATAGTGTAATTTGACCTAGTAATGTGATGGGTAAATCACTAAATCTGGATGGAGAGAGTATTTTTTCGGAATTGTATAATTGAATGGTCTGATAAATAAAGTATTTTTCTCGTCAAACCCTTCAATCAATTGTATAATTTTTTTTTTGATTTTGGGGCAAAATTCTATTTTGGGTTTATAGCATCTTCCTTTTTCTTCCTCTTTGGGGTCCAAATTGTAACAAATAAATTTTGCATTGAAGTGCTAATTTCTTTCAATTGATAAAAAAAGTAACTATGACTAATTTATATGCTTGAGCATGTTTGATTTGTTGTTTATTGGTTTAATCATGAAGTGTAATGTATGAATTCTAGCATAAGCATAGTAATGAAAATTCTTTGCATGTGCTCCATGAATCATAATCAAAAGCATTGTTTTTAATCGACAAACAGCGTTGTAGAATTGATAAGAATTTCATTTTTGGATAATGGAAGTTCTATTTCTGTATGTTCATTGGATGAGATCCACAATTACATTAGGAAATGTAATCTAACAATTGCTTACATCTGTACTTGTTCGCATGTTCACTGGTGATTACGATTTATTTCCTTATATATCATCCTTCTTTAAATAGCTTCAAATCTCTCCACTTTAGGCTGTAGTGCAATGTAAGCATAGCGTGTATGTATAGATATACACAAGAGACTAACTCACTACAATGAGGGCGAAATCTGACAACTCTTACATCCAGCTTGCTGCATCCTAAGCGAATCACAGCTTTTGCATACTAAAATGCTGGTGAGAATTGTAAAATGCTGGTGAGAAGATTCATACCCAGCGTGTTGCATCCTAAGCGAATCACAGCTTTTGCAATTTGCATACTCCTATCCTAAATGTTCAGGCATTCAGCTGTATCTTATCTAGTCCATAGATTCAAGTAACATAAATATTGGAGAATTTGGCCCCACCAGCCACCAGACACTTTTTAGTCTAGTACATCCTCCGGCCCTTGTGTTGTTAGAGTCTTTCTTATATAAGAAATGTTTTGTCAACAAATGCTACTCTTGCACTGAATTGTCATCTTTCTTCCCATTAAACTAACTAATGTTTTCCCTTGTGTTTAACTAGTCATCTTTCCACACATTCTACTAACGAATATTTCCCTATTTGTGCTCCTATTTGATTACCATTTGGGTCCACTATGATTTTGTCATTTGGATCTCTGATTTTATATCTTTTGTCCCTTTTTATTTCCTTCTACTGCTCTGATGGTCTGACCAAGACCTACAGCTTACAATATTGAAAATGGGAGGTGTGGTGGATGTATGATTCCTTTACTTTTCTTCTTTCCTTTAATACCATTGTTGAAGTTAAGAAAATATGACAACTAAATTTTTTAGAAGTATGTGGAAGATAGCATATGATGTCTTTCAAATGAAATTGAAATTTACAGTTTTCAGTGCTCTAACATTGAACTGCAGAAATCAATTAGTTTACGAGCTTATCAATGTTTGAATGCAATCTATCCAGTTTACTCTGACCACAAATCAAAGTTTATGTACCAAACGTGATGAAAAAACCTATTTCCATCCATGTGTTGGAAAACAGTATTTTTGGCAGTATCATATTCGAAAGGTAGTCCTATACGATATATGTATATAAAAAGTTCGACAAAAAAAAAAAAAGATCAGACTTTTATATCTAAAGATGTGCCTTGGCCATGCTTATGAAAGATGATGAGACCTAGACAATTTACCACTCTTTGAAGATGTGAAAAAGGGCCTAGCCTGCCTATGAAAGATGAGGTCGAGGAAGTGAGAATATATCTAAGCTCAAATGAGCTTTCATTCCAAAATCTGTTGGTATTGAGAGAAGTAACCCATTGGGCTTAAATTTATCATTTTTCTCTGTTAGATTTCACATGTTGGCATCTTCAGAGTTCAGAATCTCTATCAAATACTCTAGTTATAGGCCTCGGCCTTAGCTCTTTTGGTAGTTTGTTTCTAATTAAAAATGTTGGCAGTGATTGTTGTTGTTTCTTTTCTTCTTTAATTTTTCTTATATAAATATTTTTAGGTGCAAATCGGGACACATTCCTTTACATTTGATCATGTCTATGGGAGTTCTGCTTCTCCATCTTCCTCTATGTTTGAAGAATGTGCTGCTCCACTTGTTGATGGTTTATTCCAGGGATACAATGCAACGGTCCTTGCCTATGGTCAAGTAAGCTTTGCTTCAATTTGTGGTATTGCTATACATGACAGTGGTATCATTTTTCGTATTTCTGTACAAAATAAGTGAATTTTCTATCATGTTGCAGACAGGGTCAGGGAAAACCTACACCATGGGTACAGCATTTCGCGAAGGTGGACATACAGGAATAATCCCTCAAGTTATGAATGCATTATATAGCAAAATTGAAAAGTTGAAAAATGAAACTGAATTCCAGTTGCACGTTTCTTTCATCGAGGTGGGCCCTTTTCTTAGAATCTCTTTTTTCTTTCATGGACATTTAGGTACTTCTATCTGAACTATATAAACAATTATGATCTGTATATTCTAGGCTACCTGTTTATAGATCTGTATTGGAACTTTCATGATTCCAATACCCTGATACATCTGATTTGGTAGAGTTTCTCACAACGTTTTCTGTAAGATGTATGTTTGTTCTGTTAAAATGTCTCAAGCTAATTAATTGTTTTGATTTCATTTTTCTAACCCGCAATAAGTGAATAGTATATGACTAGACTTTGTGATTTCTGCAGATTCATAAAGAGGAAGTGCGAGATTTACTGGATTCCTTCCTATCAACGAAATCAGAAACTGCTAATGCCGGGAAAGTAAATATACCTGGAAAACCACCAATACAGATCCGTGAATCATCTAATGGTGTTATTACTCTAGCGGGATCTACAGAAGTAGAGGTCAGGTCTTTGAAGGAAATGGCAGCATGCCTTGAACAAGGATCACTTTGCCGGGCTACCGGGAGCACAAACATGAACAACCAATCTAGGTGAGGTTGTCAGAGTAACCTCTAATCTTCATGTTTATTTATGTATTTATTTATTTATTTTTATTCTAGTCAATCATACACCACATGATTTTATGCACATAATTAAGAAAGAAATAAGTTCATTATGGAGCATTCAAAATTCTATATTGGATTTATCATAGAACATGGTTCTAAACAAACAGAAAGATACTGTATTGAAATTTGACTTATTGTACCATAATATACCAATGATCTTTGTGGATTGACTCCATGTTGTATGGAGAAGCCTCATGGGACTATATTGTTGTTTCTGGGATGATTAAAAGATTTACTGATAAGCTGAATTGTTGACTGTTGGGAGAATAATTTCTTTTCAGATTGCAATTTATCAAAGGTGTCACTAAGTTCACTTCTGCTTCTTTTTTATGGTGAAGCAGTAGCATCAAGGGCCTAATGCGAACACCAACTGTCCACTTTTCCTGTTTACTGATTATTTTGTGCTGTTGTCCGTATCCATTGCTAAAGTAATGCTTGTCATGGTTGGCTTTGGCGTATTTTTTATATTATTTAAGTTGGGGGTTAGGTATGATTAATAATGGGTTTTTATTAATTTTTAGAAATTGCTTAAATGATTAGCATGGTGAAGAGAACACTTGGACTCTTAGTTGCATAAAGGACTATTGGTTATTCTAAAAATGATTGTGATGCCAGCTGCCATGGGAAAATAACTGCAATGAAAGTTGCTTGTGAAGTAAGAGGACTGAAGTTGGGAGGAGGAGTAGGAGAACACAGTACATTGTGTCCCCTATGCAGAGATCCTTGACATAAAAAAAAAACACATATACATCAAATTCATCATTCGACGGATACAATGTTGTCAGTGGTGATTGGCAGACAAAGTTTAGGTCAGTTTTTGATTATTGGAGAGAAGGAAAGGGTGAGGGAAGAGCGGTGTTTCTAAAAACTGTAATCGGAAAAGTCAAAATGTCACATTATTAGCTGTCAGAGCATTGTGCCAATTTAAACTAGAGGAAAGTAATTACGGACTACTAGCTCTAACAAGTTCAAATTGGAAAAGTCAAATCAGATACTGTAGGCTAGGTGCAAAGTAGCTCTGATGTCTATTTACTAGTTCTAACAAGTTCCAATAAATTTAGATAAGTTACGATAAGTTCAAGATACAGCTACATTGAGTTCCAACTTCCAATAAGTTCAGACAAGTCCGTTGTATAGAATACATGTTAAAGTCTGGTGAAGTTGTGAGCTTGGCTGTAGGGACATACTTAATGAGCTTGGCTGTAGGGGCATACTAGTTCTAACAAGTTCAAACAATGGAATAGATAATTAAGGCATAGGAAAGTGGAGAAAGAGGAGAAAATTTAGGTCAAAAGCATTTGCTCTCATTTGCATTTAAGTACCAAGAGTTTAAGTTACTCAAGATTTTGGATTTACATCCTAATTATGTGCATGAAATAATTGCATGTTTATATTTTTCATCTATCTTGAATAAAATGTTTTTACCTATGTGCAAAAAAGTTGACCAAATTATTTTCGATTTTGTTTGTAGTCGTTCTCATGCTATCTTCACCATAACACTAGAGCAAATGCGCAAGCTAAGTCATACTGATCCTGAAGATGCTAATGTCAATGAAAGCATGAACGAAGAATACCTATCAGCTAAATTACACTTGGTAGATCTGGCTGGGTCTGAGCGTGCAAAAAGAACAGGTTCAGATGGCATGCGTTTTAAAGAAGGTTTGTTAGAATATTATTCACTTATTGCTTATTTTATTTTCTTTTTTTCATAGCATGAAAAATACTTACCTAAGTTTTTGAACAGGAGTTCATATTAACAAGGGTCTTCTTGCACTTGGAAATGTCATCAGTGCCCTTGGTGATGAGAAAAAGAGGAAAGAAGGTGTACATGTACCCTATCGAGACAGTAAACTGACTCGATTATTGCAGGTTTGACATAACTTCAGTCATTAATAGTTGGGTTTCACTTGGATTATGCTAAAAGGGACCTGAATGTTAATTTATAACCTCAATTAATCTAATGAGTAATTTCACAATCCATGTCTACAATCTTGATTGTATGTACTAAATTTGGTTTGTTCAAAGTGCAAGAAGATTTTATGTTGCTGAAAACAATGTAAATTGGACATGGTAAAATCCAGAGTGTCCATGTCAACACGACACGGACACGGGATCCATGTCCGACCCTTCATTGTGAACTCGGACACTTCCATTAAGAGTGGAGAGGAAAAAAGAGGAGAAAAGCATGAAAGAAAAACACGTCTTGTTCGAAGACCACCATTGATATAGAGAAGATGGAGAGAAGAAGACTGCCATTTATTGGGTGAATTACCGAGAAAAGAATTAAAAAAAAGGGGTGGACGTAATGAAAAATTAAAAGCTTTTGTAATATATAATTTATTTTATATAAATTTAAGTGACGTATTGACGTGTCCTCGCACCCGTGTCCAAACATTAGACAGAGTCCCCGTGTCCTAAAATTTTAGAACTTGCCGGATAGGACATTTGGATATGTGTCTGTGTTCGACAACCGTTCTCGAGTCCATATAAATATATAACATAGGCTGAAAAGCACTCACCGGCTGTGAAGCTTTCTTGATCCTAGTGGAAATTTATTCAGGTTGTTGTATGTTGACTGTTGAGTGATAAATATAAGACTATATATGAGTTTAATCAATGGATAAAAATTATGGAGTATAAACTAATCTGGTGTTGCTGGACCAAGCCCTATCATTTGATGTAGGACATAAAGTCTTGTTATGTGTGGAGGCCAAATTGGTTTGGATTACATTCTATAATGCTCATATTTGAAGTTGAATTTTTCTGCTCTTAAGGCCATCTCAATTATTGTTGCTTGAGCTTAGTAATCTTTTCTGGTGTTTCCATGCCATGGTTTGGAAATCATTCATATTGTGTTATAATTATTTTGTGTGCTAGGAATAGTATTATTGTTGACATGTGATGACAGGCTGGAAGAAAGTTCTTGTAAACAGCCAAATTTTATGAACATATTGCTACTATATTTTGCAGCACTTTATCTAATGTCATGTTATATCTTCAGGATTCTCTTGGTGGCAACAGCAGGACTGTGATGATTGGTAATTACTTGTTTCTCTATATCAATCTTAATGTTTGAGAAAAATTGTGACTTTGAAACGTTAAATTAGCTGCATGTGCCCCTGTGCTAATTTTGTGTCTAGCAATATATGATGTATGACGGTTTTTGTCACATGATAGTTGAAAGCTTATACTTGTTGTATGATGTATATTATATTATTCATACTAGTTTATTGTATGATGTATATTATATTATTCATACTAGTTTATGTTAACTCTTCAGCTTGAGTTTCACCCACTATCTGTATGGCCTTTCATATTGTGGTTTTTTGTGTTTGTAATAATTTGGTACCTCCAGACAGTTAGCTCAAGCATCTTAGGGGATTGGCATGTTTTTTGGTCAGTTGGTTGTATATAGTAACCTAAGTAAACTGAATTATCATATATTTATTGGCTAGATACTTTGCCTGTTGCTGCAATGTATTTCACTAATGACTTATTTGCCATTGCAAGCTGTTCAATATTTGCATGCGACTTTTGTGAAGCATTTTCTTGTTGGAATTCTGGACTTGCTTTTGCCATTTTCAGCAACCTTTTAGACTTTTTTTTTTTTTTTCTCTAAACATCCTCCAGAAATTATATTTAAATAATGACTTGTTAGCTGCTTTAAACCTAACTCCCTGATGTACAGCATCACATAAAAATTATGAGCACTTGCTTTGCTTTTTTATCATATAGATTTTCCTTGTTCCCTTACTTTTGTTTGATATCCTACCAAGCCCAATTCCAGAGCCAGTTATGTTGGACATCTGTTTTACAGCTTGCATCAGTCCGGCTGATATCAATGCTGAAGAGACGCTTAACACACTCAAGTATGCAAACCGTGCCCGTAACATTCAAAATAAGCCAGTGGTAAGCTTAAAATGTCCCTTCTACATGACTACAATTTTTTTCTTCCCCTTTGTTATGTATTGTATGAACTTTGGGCTTTGTGGCCTAATGGAGTACACCTTATCGTTATGTTAAAGTCTTAGTTTTTGTTTGGATAGATCAATAGAGATCCAATATCCAGTGAGATGATTAAGATGCGGCAACAGCTTGAGTATTTACAAGCAGAACTTTGTGCCAGAGGTGGAGGGACATCTTCGGATGATGTACAGGTATTGTAATTGTGTAGGTCTTTATGTTTTCTCTGCTTGGCAGCAATACTATTTTCTATCAAATAAGTAAATAACACAAATTTGCAGGCCTTGAAAGAGAGGATTTCTTGGCTGGAGTCAACTAATGAAGATCTGCGGCGAGAGCTTAATAAATACCGCAGTGGATATAATGTTGATGATCAGGGTGATACTTTGTGCCAGGTAGGTGACTTTTAATTTAGCTGTTCTGGAGTCTAAATTCTTTCCATGGCATTGGTCCTTGGAATGGAATTCATCATTATGTTATTTTCTAGCACTAGTATTTCATTTTCTAAAAGTAGAGGCAATGTTCTCCTTGTATGGCATTTTATTGATAAGCTGGGGCATTATGATTGTCAGAGTGGAGAAATCGGTTCAGTGAAGAATGAGGGGCATAAGAGGCGCCAGAGTATGGATACATCTGATTATGCAATGGGTGAAATCGTTATGGGTATGGTTTCTTCTAGTCTTAAATTCAGAAATTTGGTTGTTTCTTTCAGGGTTTGTATTGCCAAAAGAACTGCCCTTTGATATCTAAAGAGCCTGAAAGATGATAAAATGGCTGTGCCCTTAGTTTCAAGATTAGTTCATCAGTGTGAATTTGGGTGGATTACTTTTTAGTCTCTAAGCTGCTTCTGAATGAAGATTATTGAGGGTAACATATGATGTTCTGTGAAATATTAACAGGTGATTCCAAGGATATGGACGAAGAATCTGCAAAGGAATGGGAGCATAAGGTTCTTCAGACCACTATGGACAAAGAATTAAGTGAGTTGAATAAACGTCTGCAGCAAAAAGAGGTATGGCAATTTTATGATAAATCTATTTTGCTGTACTACATATTGATCTTATATATCTTTGCATAAATTATAGATGTTGCCTCCAAGATTTAATTTTTGTCTTTCATTATGGGCAAGCTCATGTTATTGGCTGGGAAAAAGTTTGTACATGTCATTTATTTCTCGGGAATGAAAATGGAATTCCATTATTACTTCCTCTGTGTTCATACCCTTGGAATGTATAATACATGGTTGGACTGTTGTGAAAATTGACATAAATTGAGTGCTTTTGTAAGTTTTGTCTCACATCTTATGATGTATTACATATTATATATTTTATGCTGGTATACGCTCCAAAAGTCTCCATACTAACCTTTTGTTGTTGAAGGCACCATAATAACCTTATAACTGATTTAAACTCTAGGAAACACAGAATGACAAAGATTTTAGGTTCCTTTAATTTATTCTGTGTTTTTTTAGTGTTGGATCATACATCTTCACGTCCCTTCTGGAAGACCTGTTGGAATAAGAGCATTCTTTGGTTGGATAAATTGTGCTGCATTGTGGTCCTATTTTTCCATTCTAATTCAACTTCACCTAATCGTTCTGAATGTCGTCTGCTTTCCTACCACTTACCCTATTTGATAAATGATAGTGATCATGATTGGAACAATTAAATTTTGTTACTAAGTCAAATATCATACTCCAGAAATCTTCGTTGAAAAGCTCCTGGTTCATGAGAACCAAATTCTCATCCTATCTGCATGGGTCTTTTTCCCATTACTTTGTGGATTTTCTCCGACCTCCTGATAGGCCTTCTTTATGATTTCACAGCATGGGGCACAGCTGCACAAGCTTTTGGCAGGGGTTAGGTTTTTCCCACTTTTCCTCATCACCATATGTCTGTACAAGCATTGTATTGTTTATATGCTTTGGTATCAAAGCTTCATAGCCTCTCTAGCAAGTGTTGTAGAGTGACACCAAAGAATTTTTTTACTTTTGGCCGTTGTTTATTAGGGTTTTGTATATGCTACTTGTTGAAGTTTGTCGAGGAACACCCAAACATAGGTTGTGGTTTGTGGGGATGGGGAAGGGAGACTAGCAAATTAGGTACCACTATTTTAGAGTACAAAATGAAAAGCGTAATGGATACAAGGGTTCTAGAACCTAGTACTAAAACCTATGAAGTCAATTTCAAAATGGATATTCTCTGGCTTATTATTATTATTTTTCTTTCTAACACTCCATGGAATAGTACTTGGAGATATTAAGGATCTAACACTATGCTATATTGCTATGTATCACTTCAAAGTTCATCTTGTTGAATGCATTTAATTGCCTACTTTCTAATTCTTGGAAACACTAAAGCACTTAGTTTTGAAGTTGTCATTATTCATAAAACTGTGTTATTATGTATTATTTGATCATTTTCTTCGAGCAATTGGTTTAAGTTATTGTTCTAATCTGATACACCCATTATATATCTGGTGTAGTGATAGAGTTACTAATTCTGCAACTTATTGAGTAAAATTTATCTTCTTTGCAGTCCGAAATGAAGCTTTTTGGAGAAGCAGATACTGAGACTCTTAAGCAGCATTTTGGAAAAAAATTAATGGAACTTGAGGATGAAAAAAGAGCTGTCCAGGTTCAATTTGAATTATAGATTCCTCCCCCCCCCCCCCCCCCCCCAGTTGGAAAAGAAAGCTAATGCATGGTTAACATTTTGTTATCTTGGGTTGTTTGCAATAATTGCAGCAAGAACGAGACCGGCTTTCAGCTGAAATAGAAAACCTTGCCGCTTCTTCTGATGGTCAAACACAGAAATTGCAAGATGTTCATTCTCAGAAATTGAAGGCACTTGAGGCTCAGGTAGAATGGACTAATACTTCAACTCTTCTATGTTATTGCTAACAGATAATGGGAAATGTTTTCTGATTGTTTCTTCAATGTAAATCTGCAGATCTTGGATCTTAAGAAGAAACAAGAGAACCAAGTTCAGCTGTTGAAACAAAAACAAAAAAGTGAAGAAGCAGCAAAACGTTTGCAAGAAGAAATACAATTCATAAAGGCGCAGAAGGTTGAATTTTTGTCACATTCTGTTTATCAAATCACCAATGATTACTTTCTACTTACTTGTCCTCTAAAACTAGGTTCAATTGCAACATAAAATTAAGCAAGAGGCAGAACAATTTCGATTATGGAAGGCTTCTAGGGAGAAGGAGCTTTTACAGGTATTGTGCACTTTGCTCTTTCTTGTTGTGAGCCAGCCTTTTCCCACCCTTCTGCTCCTTTGCCTCGGCCTCCTATTCCTCCTAATTGAGCTTACTTTTTTCTCTTTCTCTTTTTCTGTCTTTTTTTTCCCCCTGTAGATTGGCTTTAAAATGTTACCATTATTTAGTGTTTGAAACAATTTTTTATTGTCTATTCATTAAAATTTACTTTTTCAAAGCAGCTACGTAAGGAGGGTAGGAGGAATGAATACGAGAGGCACAAGCTACAAGCTCTAAATCAGCGTCAGAAACAGGTAAGCTTCTGGCATTTATTTCATCTGTCATCCATGCTCATATAAAATGAAAGATATTGTTACAGAAATCTTGATCAAGTTTCATCCTCGATTGTACTATATTTTCATTCATCCATTTGCTAATGTGTTTGAGGGATGTTGGTTGCATGTTTCTAATTTCCAGGTTAAAGTTTGTGTTGTTAATGATGTCAATGTCAATGAGTATCCTAATAATGCCAATCACACTATCTACCCATTTTTATTACTGCTGATTCACTTTTATGTTGTAACCTGTACCATTGACTCTTATAAGGAGTTTTGGTGTAGGATTTTCCTGATCTCAACACAGATTATATTGCTGAGGCATCTGTTCAGTAGACTAAGAAATTTATCCTGAGTGCAAGTAAATCTATTGATGTCTGTCTCTCCTAGACCGATTATACTTTCATTTATTCTTATTTTGTGTCAGACTTTGTTTTGTTAATTGTTTGATAGAGTGATGTGTGGATATTGCCCCTCCTAAAAAGTAATGGTATTCATCCATTACTGACAGAACCTATTGCATACATAATTAACAATAGCTATCTAGCTTATGACACTGTAAATTGTGCGCATGAAATTCGTGAACCTGTCAATGCTTGTGACCACCTTCCAGTAAGATTTTATAAGCGCTTTCTCTGACTCAGGTTCTCCAAAGAAAAACAGAAGAGGCTGCCATGGCTACCAAGAGACTGAAGGAGTTGCTTGAAGCTCGTAAATCTTCAGCACGTGATAGCTCAGGTATCACTTTGTTGACCAATATTTTGTGGATATATGGCTTTAATGTTTTTTCTTATTATTTATTTATTTATTTATTTATTTTTATTTTTATTTATTTTTATTCAGTCTGTTTTTTCATTAATATTCAAGTGCACTAAATGCAGAAATTTTGTTGAAGTATCCCTTGATATTGTGATTTGTTTTATTCCAGTATCTACTACACATATATCTGACTGTAGGGAAACCTGAATTTTATTGGGAATAATACACCCCAGTATTATAAAAGCTCTGAAGTTTCATCCAACTTTTTCTTTTTTAATTTTTTTTTTAAATTTTTTTAATTTTTTAATTTTTTTTTTATTATTGTACTATAGCTCTTGCCATATCTTTGACTGGAGGATACTATATTTAGTATTTAATTTTGCTATATGACTTCTGGTGCTTGGATTCTTATCTGATCTCTGTAATTTTCCAGTTCTTGCTAATGGCAATGGAACAAATGGACAGGTAGTCACCTTACTCTTATCTACTTTCTATATCTTTGAATCTTTCCATCATGATATGTTTTTCTCTAGATATGTTTTGTTGATGGAGGCTTTTGTATCTTAGACCAACGAGAAAACATTGCAACGCTGGCTTGATCACGAGCTAGAAGTCATGGTAAACGTCCATGAAGTGCGTTATGAGTACGAGAAACAAACTCAAGTGTAAGCATTCTGTTTATATTGGTGTTTGCATAAGTTGGCATGCATGAAATGATCTACAGTTATTCTTAATGATTATTTCTATCTTCTCCAGACGTACTGCACTTGCTGAAGAGCTGTCTGTGTTGAAACAACTAGAAGAGCTTTCTTCAAAGGGATTAAGCACTCCTAAAGGAAAGAATGGTTTCTCAAGGTGCAATTCATGCAAATTCTTATTTAGGAGTCTGCTGTTCCTGTTACCGCAAAAGTTTAATGACTGTCTTAGCAGTATAGAAAGGTGTTTCATTTCTGTTGCGATTTTGCCTAATGCAATTCTTGATTGCTATCATATGTAGGTTATCCTCGTTGTCACCAAATGCGAGAATGGCGAGAATTGCATCTCTGGAAAATATGCTGAGCATATCATCAAATTCACTAGTGGCCATGGCTTCACAACTTTCAGAAGCAGAAGAGAGAGAACGTGGTGTTAGTAGTCGTGGTCGTTGGAATCAGTTGCGCTTAATGGGAGATGCCAAGTGTTTGCTACAATATATGTTCAATTCTCTTGCAGATACAAGGTTCATTTAATCATTTATTGCTCTAAAAATTGATCCATTCTTGTATCTCCTATTTTAAACTCAGTTTGTTTGTGTCACATCTCACATGTGCAAAATTTACTGGAAATAACGTAAATATTTTCAACAGTCATCGCTACATCTTATGTGGATGGATAAACACACCTTATTTGCTCAATTGCTCTTGATTCCGCTTCTCTGCTTTCTTTCTGTGCCTTTGATTATCCTTCTGATATAAATAAAGTAAATTTTGCTTCAGATTGGCACTGACATAATTAGATGATTTAAGAAAGACTTTTTACAAAGTTTCTGAGATAAAGTTAACAAAAATAAAACCACCTTTATTTTCTGTAGTTCCAGTGTTATCTATGAGAATATGCTGTTGACTTTGAAATGATTCTGATGCATGTTACATTTTCCTTCAATTTTAATGAAGTATCAAAAGTTGGTTTTTGTAGTGATATGCATGAACTTTCTGTTAGTGGTACCAATTTAGTAGATATCTGGCTGAAGGTTATGTTCTGCGCTGGAATTCATATTAACTTTGTTTTTTGACAGATGTCATTTATACGACAAGGAAACTGAAATGAAGGAAATGAAGGAGCAGCTGAAAGAACTGGTTGGTCTCTTGAGGCAGAGTGAAACACGGAGAAAAGAGGTGGAGAAGGAGCTCAAATTGAGAGAGCAATCAGCTGCCGTTGCCCTTGCCACATCTGCATCGGTGAGATGAACATGTATTTTTGTTTTATATATATTTGTTTTTGTAGAATTTTGTGTAAGATGAATATTCAGGCACAAACATTTGAAGATTGTCTGGTACTAAAGATATTTGATAATTCACTTTGATCCCTGTGAGAAATGCAAAAATGCCTGAAGAACTTCAGGCCTGGCACAATATTTTGTCCTGACTCCTTTTAAATCATATGCTATGAAAACTACCCTGTCTGGAGTAAAGTATGGCGATTCAAGTGACCCCAATGTTCTAATTAAAGTTTTCTCTGAATGAAACTTGAAAAACTAGAGGTGGCAAACTGTTTACACATTGTTATTTGGAATGACATTGCTTTGGATTCTTGAACAACAGTGCAATTATGTTTGCTTTAATTTCTATCGTTTTTGATGATTGTTGATCCCTTGTAAATCATCCTCCCCCCCCCCCCCCCCTCTATGAAGTCTGATTTACTCTTAATGTCACTGAGCAGAATAATTCACCCGGATCACTAAAAAACACACTTTACGACATGAGTGACCCATTATCTCCAATAGCTGCACCTGCACAAAAGCAGCTGAAGTATTCTCCTGGTATTGCTAATGGACAAGTCAGGGAAGCAACAGCATATATTGATCCGAAAAAGGTTAATCTTCAGTTTCTTAGTTAGTCTATATGTTAGATATTCTCCTATCTGTTCCTTTGATGAAAAAGGATATCTTGCTTTATGCAGATGGTGCCACTTGGACAGTTGTCAATGAAGAAATTAGCAGTTGCAGGACAGTCTAGTAAGCTATGGAGATGGAAGAGGAGTCATCGCCAGTGGATTTTACAGTTTAAATGGAAATGGCAAAAACCATGGAAATTGTCAGAATGGATTAAGCATTGCGATGAGACAATCGTGAAGACAAGGCCTCGGCCACAGGCGTTGAAAGATACGATTTAACTTTCTTCATGAGGTGCTTTTGTATGATTTGACCTCCACGTACATCCACGCATACGTCAGAGTTAGACTAGCAATACCTATGTAGGTGAGTTTCTTCTTATCAATTCTGTTAGTAAGCATTAAGTTAACATTCCAGGAATAGTAAGTACTATGCTTATCATGTTCTTTGAACATTTTATCACCATTTGCATGATACTTTTTATTTATTCTGCTGGTAAGCTATAACATGCCAATACTTTAAATTACTAATACTTGTCATGCCATTTGTAACAATCAACTCCAATTACATTACACTTGCTCATCTAAACCTTTAAAATGCGTGTGTACGGCAATCCTCTCCACATATATTGTTGGACTACTTTACATTTTCTGTAAGTTATGTCTTATATAGTGCTGCACTTATGGTAAGGAGCTACTGAATTAGACCAGAAACCACATAATATAATTTTTGCTTAAATGTTTTATCAAAGATTATTATAGGGGATGTTTGGCTAACAAGAATCAAGGGAAGAAAGCAAACTGATACACTTATTGCCCTTGGTTAATATTTGGTTGACATTTCAAGAAATTTCCTTTCTCCTATTGCCAGTTTAAGGACACCCCAATTCCAGGTTTGACGCATTATCCTTCTCCTTGGGGATTGGGGAATCAAGAAAAAGAGAAGAAAAAAAAAAAAGCTTTGTTCCTTTAATATTGCAACAATTACTATTTTAGGATGTTTGACAAATATTGTAACATTTCCTTCTTTGCACATGCTTTCTCTTTCTCTCTCTCTCCTCATCACATGGGTCTTTGTTTTTATTTCCCTCTACCTCTCTCCTCATCTTAAAATCCGTGCATAACCCCCCTTCTTGCAATATGAGGAGAACGTAGGAAGTGTCTGAAATAAATTTCAACCATGACCCATCTCACCTGCAACCAAGTGGAAGGCTTTCACAATCTATCTTTGTTGGACTTGGGTATTGGTGTCAAACACTGCTAGTGTACAAGGGTCAGACTTGCTATGTTATGAAACATTTCCATTTTGGTCCAAAACAAAGTGTCCTGCGTCCAGATTCGTTTTAGATTGTCAAATCCAACATGGATTTTTGTGGTAAAATGAGGAGCCTGAGTAATATGGATAGTCACTAGATTCACAACCACCCATTACAGTTGCTGTCATTGCTTTTGTTGATTAAGCCAAGCAATACTTGGATGGAATTGAGATCTGTGAAGCAGAACCACCAGAAAGTAGACATGATTTTTTCCTCTTGTATTAACTATCAAACAATGTAAAACAGATGTAGGGATTGGTTCTCATCTAAACCAATTAAATTAAAAAGTTTTTTTTCCCTTTCTTTACTCCAATTCCCTCTCCGTCTGATTTCTTTTGCTTTTCCTTCTATGAGTGAAATAGCACCTTGTATTTCTGTAGCCTCATTTTTGATATATTTGTATAGTACGAAAGAATCTGGCTTCAAAGTTTTTTTTGACAAGAAAAGAACTGGTTGAAAAGTCGGGTCAGGTTGAGTCGTTTGTGAAGCTGATATGCTCTTTGCAAGTGCATCTAGTAACTGGCTCTTCATATGGTGTTTATCATAATCTTCATGATCTAGAAGTTTCCTTCACCATTATCGTTACTTTTAGCTGTAATGAGGCTTCTCCCAGAGTGGGATGATGTATGCAAACTTAACCAATGTGTTATGTTTGCTGCAAACAAGTGGAGGATGTGTTTGTGAGAAATGATGTCCATTTTGACTCAAAGCTAAAATATTGCCAATGCTCTTGTTTTTTGCATTTGAACCAATGAAACTGAGTAATCTAACTCATATCTTTTAGATACCAGCCGGTTCAACATGTCCTGAATCATAGTGATGGGTGATTTGTGTAACAATAAATTGGATTAGTCTTGTTTTCAGCTGGTTTGCAGCTTGCACTGGCTCAAATGTCACCATGTCACCATTATGGCTCATGTCCTTTCTTCTATTTAAGGAAAACTCTATTTTTGTACAATGGCAATTACTGTTAGTTGTATGAGTTAAAATCAATGTGACCTGCAATTGTTATTTAAGACGCCCTTCCAGCACCGCACCACTGTTTAAAATTGTCCTTTGTTTTGTTTCAGATTAGAAGAATGCTATATACAGTGGCCCATTATGTATTTTAATGTATGTCTTGGAGAAAGTTGGTATGCTGGTGAATTGGATGCATTGGTCTTCAATTCTTCAGAAGTGATTTGTTTGGCTCAAGGGAGCATCTTGTAAAGCTGTAATGATGCTACCAGTTGTATGCCAAAGCAGTCAGGGAAGAGCACAGAACTCTAATACTAAGTTGTCTTGTTCCATCTGACGGCTTCTAACGCTCGTTTCTTAAGGTTTTCCTTTGTGAATAAGGATTTCTTTGATAATTGATAGGACATGTAATGGGGATGAAGGGTGGTTTTTATTTCCCTTTATTGTTGTGGTTTTGGTCTTTAGGCTGTCTGTTATAGTCTACAGTGTGTGTAATCACAGGATTAATTTTGTTAATATATTGAAAAGTTAGGACTTTGTATTAGAGTGATTGATTAACTGTAATAGACTTTTCATGTTTGATGTATGTAACACATTAATGATTGATTATATTAGAAGTGATTGATTACATGGCAGGTTTTCAACTTGATGTACTCCTTCCCCCATTAACTAAATTCCTTAATTGTTCTCTAGTAATACATCACTCTCAATTATTTTCTTATTTCATTGCTTTGATGATTTTGTGGGCATTAAAAGTGGCAATTGGCATGAAACTCAGTAAGGATCTCTTTTGGGAAAGGGTCTGTAAAGATGATATTTCTCTTGCCTTTACTTTTTCATAAGAGAGGAAATGGATATGACGAAGGCAAAGAGAGGACGTTGGATGAAGGATCACTGAAGATCCGTAGGGAAAGAGAGGCAACTTGGAAAAGAGGGCTCGAGTGATAAGTAAGTTGGGTGTATATTTGGAGAATTTAGGTTATGACCATCCATAAAGATTAGCAAATTGTTGGACTTGCAAAGGGTAGTAAATACGGAGATATATTTTCTTACAAAACAGTTTGGAAAGTTCTCAATATGGCCTCTATATTGAATCATTATATATTTCTATATGATAATACCAATACATGTTACAGTATTGCGCTATCTCATGAAGAAGGCACAACAGTCCATAGATAGCTCCTATAATAAGACTATAAAAGGCAAAACTTTTTACCATAAGATCATCTCCATTATAATCACAAGAACTCCGACATATATTCCTCAACATAATCTACAAATGCATGCGTATGGCCTTGCCTAAGCTTGGAGTTCGAACGTTTTTCCCTTTCAAAGCAGGTATATCATAGTTAACAGGGAAACAAAGCATTTGTAACAATAGTACATATTCAAGATGACAATTTTTAATCTCATGCTTTACAAAGCACCTGCATCTGTGAACACTCCACCCACCAAATGTTCTCTTAGGTGCATTTAAAACTGACACCAGTAAGCATAATGTTCATCTTTACGATGGTTGCTAACAAGACCGCCACACTTCAAACAGATGAAACTACTGCCGTCGGAGAAGGCATCTAACACAATCTGCATTCTTCCGGTCTCTGCCAAAATTGAGGTTTCACAAGCGTCAGTCTCTATTTCACGGCCAGGAACAGTTGGTGGTGTTGCAGATGATGAGAATAATGGTGATGGAGATGACGAGGGTTCACTTCCTGGGGGCTGAGCTTCAGCAATTACACACTCAGCAAATAAAGAGGCAAGTTGATCAGCTTCAGCACTAGCCTGTAGTTTTGATCTGTATAGCTCACGTGCACGTTGCAAGATGTAGAAAACAGCCTCCTCTCCTCCTTTTGTTCTCATAGCCATAACTATCTGTTTGGGACAAGATATTCACCGTATTGATCCTTAATAAATTAAATAAATAAATAAATAAATAAACTTTAACCACCTATAATCATAAAGCTCTATGCAAACTGGATAAGTGGATGCTCATGACACATATCAATAAAACAAATCAATTCAATATGGTAGAGCATTAAGATACATATAGGGTTAAGTCCTATTATTTTATTCAGACCATTGCCCTCAATGCACAATTTACTCCTGCTTCAGTTAAATCGACACAGAATCCGAGTCATGTCAAGATTACTTCCAAATTAGGCCATTGGCCTCAATGTACAAATTACTGTTGTCGACACAAAATCCAAACATGTCAAGATTACTTCCAGAGATATATTCATTCACAAATCGCAATTGGATTATGCATGCAATCAGGCATATGAGCGAATCTTATTCTGACATTCTAAGGAAATTTAGAATACACTACAATAAGTACCAAAGCTTTAATAGTCCAAAGGGATGAATAGAAGCAGTTTATTTATTTTATTTTATTTTTTTTGTTATTTATTTGTTTGCAATATACAAGTTGGTAAGAGCATCTGAGGGATGAAAAGATTGCAGAGTGCAACCATGTAATTTGACCATCTTTCTCAGAACCTATCCCATATCCTGTTCCCTAAACTCAACTGAAGTTTATGAGAGACAAGAGTAAGAGTTATTAGTTTTCTCCACACCTCTATGGCTCTACCCCTTCCTCACATGCGCATGTGCATGCAGACTACACACATGCACCAACTTGAGATCACTCACACACAACCAACAAGTACAATTTTTTTTTTTACAGCCTATGTACTGATAAAACATGAAAAATCCACCCATCTTCCTCTAACACTTAATATTCCACTACTTATTTATTACTATGAGTTAATGCATAAACACTCTTAGCATAGTACAACTATTACTTTCAACCTAAAAAAGTAATGAAATTGTGAGATATGCAAACAAAAAATATTTCCTATTCAATTTTGATATTTACTAGCATGCTAGCACAATATCGTAACACGTAATAAGTGAGATTTGAGTAAACAATAACTAAATTCCCTACATTCACCGTCTCGACTAAATCAAGGTTATAAGTATCAAAAGAGTAAAGCCATGACATTATCTATAGGCTATTTGTAGAATTTTATAACATGGACACACCAAAATCAAGTGCAAATTGTTACCAAAATTAGCATAGCAATACTGCAGGTTTTTCTTCTATGCAGAGAGTAAGAAGATTATTTCTGAGCATAGTGCAATGAGACTCACTCACCTCTTGCTATTTGTAAAGGTTTCTCCCATATTAATATTCATTCTTCAACTTTCTTCAAACGTACCCCTAGAGTAGTACTTCCCAAATCCTAGATCTTGATATTGGAGCCAACCAGAATGCCAGTAATTCAATTTAGTAACCTCAAATGTGAAAAGAAAGACATAAGAGATGCATGCTGGCTGGAGCAAGAGATTGAACAACTTTCCTTCTCCCATATAAGAGACCAAATGTTACCCTTCATTAGCTTCATATCAAATATCTTAACCTAAGCTCTAAGTTCTCCCTTTCTCACACTATTGCAACAAAAAGTAGTTCCCCAAATAATAGCATAAACTTAACCTAACCTTTTTTTTAACATCTAAAATATCCATCAAGTGTGCCGCTAGAAACTGTGAAAAATTATCCACATACCATTTTAATTGTTTTGGGCAGGGCCATAGAGCCACTCTAAATTGGGCCATACTGAAGTTTCACCATAGCTTTGGTAAACATATTTGCACACCAACTCCTGGTGCATTATTGTGCCCTTAATCAAGGCTCAAGAGTGCAACCCTTACGAAGTTAGGTTAACAGCTAACCACAGCAGACTATCATTGCAAAGGAAGACAAAAAATAATATTTGATTCTGAACTTTTCCAACTTAAGAAGATTAAGGAAAATGGTTTACCTGATATGGGAGTAAAGTGGAATAGTGGATAATCAAGAATAATTAATTAATCAGTCTTTTTAATTTTTGGGCTTGGATTATTTTACAGATTAAGATAAAAATGGATATTTTCCATAAGGTATGGTTCATCAAAAATCTTGGATCTAGACATGCATATGGAAGCTCTGCTACATACATTGATTGTTACATTAATTTGTTGGTTAGATTCTTAGAACTAGCTAAATGAGACTTAATATTAGTGGAATGAAAGTCCAGCAAGAGTTTAAGATATCTTATAGCTAGCTTTAAATTATTTCAAGATATAATTTTATGTTAGTGTTTTATATTTGTGATCTTTGTTTCACGAGTAAGATATGAATAATTAGTTTCTTGATCCTAATTTTATAGTTTTAGGAATATTCTAGATTTAATAATTACGTTTATATATAGTGATCTTAGGTTGTACTCCCTCTTTTTGTAATAATCGCAACACTAGGAAGGGTACAAAGTTTTAGGAGAATTATAGGGTGGGGACCAAAGGAAATTTTTAATAATATAAAATAGTTAATGGGAATATATTTAATTGTAAATAGGAGAGAGATATAATAAAAAAAGTAGTTTGAATAGAGTTAGTAGGAGAGAGAAATAATAAGATATTAGTGGGTCCTTACCATATAATGAAGTGTTGTAATTATTATAAAATGGATGAAAAAGAAAAGTGTTGCGATTATTAAGAAATGAAGGGAGTAACTTTATATTAGAGAGTTGAATGAATTTAATTTCTTTTATTGAGCTTTTGCTATCATGGGTTAGGGAGTTAAAAGTCAAACAAAACACAAAACCGCGACTTTTGTGTATCTTGTTGACGGCGATGGATCCCAGGATCTGTCCTAGCTAGGTTTTAATATCAAGCATATAATGATAAAACTATTCCTTTATCATAATGAAAGCCAGCTTGTTCAAGCAAATTAATACACCCTAGGTCGGAAATAAGTTGGCATTTATCATTCCAACATCACACAAAGGATAGTTCTTCTATAATATTTTTTATAGATATTTTGTAAGGACACCTTCACCTTTTGTATTACTCTTTAAAAGTTTTAATAAATTGTTTTTCTAATCATTATTAATATTTTTTATATAACAAAATTAAGTAGTGTTGGTTCTGAACTTTTTCATCACCGTATCACTTTTTTTTTTTTTTTTAATTTTTTGAGAGTCATCACCGTATCACTTAATTCAAGTAAAACAAAACAGAAAATATATTTTACTATTTTGGGGCTAGGGGAGCAGGACATAATGAAGTTTAATCCCTGGTACATATATTTTGCACACCAACTTCTAGCACACTTAGTGCTTTCTTAAAGACTCCAAAGACAGATCTTGAGCTTGAGCAAACTGAATTTAGGCTAACAGATAACCACACAGACTGATTAGTGTTGCAGAAGATAACAGACAACAGTAATTTGATTCCAAAATCTTCCAGCTTAAGAAGATTGAGAAAACACCTTTTTCTAATGACAGCCAGACATACAGACATACAGTTCAAGTAAATTTATTACACCTCACTCTGAAATATATTATCATATTATCCAAGAACATTGTCAATCTTGTCATATTATCCCAACATCTCATAATCAAAGATATGCTATGCTTTTACAAAATAGCCTTCACAATGATTGTGATAGTTCTTAATGCTACCATCTACCCATTACATAATTTAAGTACGACATATTAGAAAATTCATCACTATTACCATATTGGAAAAGGTCATAACTTTTTCCGGACATCCTAAAATGACAAATGATTTATATTTCCAAACGGAGGAAGTGCAACTGTGCAACATTTCAATTTTCTGTCGATAGACAACAATTTGTAATTCTCTCATTATCCTCAAGTAGGAAATTGGTAATTATATTTGTATAGCATGAAGAGAAAAATCAAGAGACTCTTCACAAGACTCCGCCATGTGTAGCTCTTTCCCAACGGTTATGCTGCCATTCTTAGCATCTGACACGGAGGTATGATAGTTGGAGAGCTACATTTCCTCTCAAAGAAAAAATAACCTCTATCCATCCTCAAATCCCTAATCTTTTGATACTAAACAAGCATCCCAAGTACCAAATTCTGAATAGCTTATATTCTGTAAGTAGTTAGACCCAAAAAACGAAGTACTAGTTGGTGGAATTATTCATCTTTCTCAACAATTATATCCCTTAGTTCTTGCCAGTCGCCTCTCGCCTCATAGTAATCATTTACTAATTTCAATTTAATCTTTAAATATATAATTTCCTATCACTAATTCCTAATACATAGTCTAAATAATTGTTTTAACTATAACTTTTCTTATCTATTGAAAAGACTTTGTAACCGCAAAACAAATGACAGTATTGAACTATTGATATTATATGACAACATAATATGTCTGCTCACTTCATACATGTTTAAGATGAAGTAATGATGTCTAATGATTTATATCAAAATGGAACATCGACTTCGAGTCCATGATTCAGTTCAATTTTACACCTTTGCAGTCCTGAAGCAAACAGGTATACAACCATCCAAATTTCAGACACAGTGACATACTCATAGAAATGTCGTAAGCAACGAGTGAAAAGCTGAACAAATTCTAATAGCCATTGTATATGTGAAAGGTAATACAAATGGAATGGAATAACACACTCTCAAATTCTCCACTATAACAATTCCTTAATAAATAGTCCACCATCAGCTATTCTTGTATCACATGCAACAACCCCAAGCATCACCCGAGCCAATAACTAGTCATCGTCTCTAAAAATGACGGGTTTTTTTTATATAAGATAATTCATAGGTATAACCTAAACAGACAAACAAATTACAAAACAAATTCAATAAAGAATTGAAAAAATTACCGCTTGAAGGGCTTGAGAAGGTTTGCCCTGATCGATGAGTTGACGGGCCAATGAAAGGAAACCAGCAGCAGCGTCGGATTGAGGAGCGGCGCCACTGGCATTGGCGGTCGGAGGAGGTGGTGGAAGCTGAGAGTCCTCTGTCACCTCGATCATTTCCATGTCCGCTGTTTGATTCATGGTGTATTTTAACACATTTCACAAATAACACAAAACCTGATTCTTTTCATCTACTTAATTGTATGAGTAATTGAGTAATTGGCCAAAGTTCTCAGTTCTCTTAAACCTCTTTTAAAGGGTCACTCTTTTTTTTTTTTTTTTTTTCGTGCAACTCCCCAGACGTTTCCAGTTTCTTCTGGGATTGTCTAATTGTGTTCTTAGGTTGCGAGAGGCTATTCTGTGCTTTCCTACCGTCGGGGTACCTTATTTTGTTAATTTTCGGTAGTTTTTTTTTTCTTTTTTTTTTGTGTGATGCTCACGAGCAAGGCAGCCCCAAAATCTCAAAATTCGCGTGTTCATCACCAAAATCAATGAGAACGCAACCATGAGAGCGTCCCTGCTCAACCATCAACTCTCAACTTCTAACTCAAATTGTAAGCACTCCAAACCTTCAAATGACACCAAAATTGTTGGAGATCGAAATCCAATGAACCCAATTGTACCTAATATTTGGGGGTAAAAATCACCCCTGCCACGTGGTCCAATGAGGGCCTGACACGTGTTACCCTCATACAGGCCCAAAGGGATCCAATCAAAGGATGCCACGTGGCGTTGTAACTCCAATGGGGGAGCATATCCTAATCTGCTATAAATAGAGAAAAAATCCTCATTTATGATTCATTCATAAATACATACACAAAAACCTGAGCAATATTGATTGCGGAATCTCTCTGAATCAGGGAGAAATACCCATTTACTTTCCGCACGTTTACCCATCCAGAATCATACTAACTTGATCTTCGGAGGCGGAACTCCACCCAACCGGAGTTTCGTGGTTTTGCAGGTACAGAAGTCAGGCGCTCATACTCCATATTGTAACTCTCCCGAGGGACTAAAAACACCCGAAACATTTGGCGCCGTCTGTGGGGAGAATACTACTGAGATGGCATCTGATGCTGTACCGAATGCAGAGGGCATCCGGCCTACGGCTAACCCTGAGGTCCATACGGACCACGAAAGTGGCAGTAGTGACGACTACGACGTCGAAACCTACATGGCCCCAGACGGGTCATTCCGTTCTAGGCGCACCCGTTCCAAGGAGACAAGGGAACGGGGCCACGATAAAGTTGGTCCCAACAACCCAGGCGGCAAGCCTGTGGAACAACCCCAGGCGGCGGAGGGTGCTGCCCCCGTCACCAGAGACGAGCTCATGAAGTTCATGACAAGTTTCAAAGGATAAAGGACATTATTAAGAAGTCAACTGGCTCAAACAAGGGTCAGTCGGCAAAGAAGCCTTCACCCTCCGGGAAGAAGCAAGTTAAAGACCGGGTGCCTACTCCTCACCCCAAGCCCAAGGGGATGGATGGGCCCTTAATCGATCTTTCGAAACTTCGTTTCCCTGAATCAGGGCAGCAAAAGGCCATCCGACATACACAACCGGATGGGTAAAAAAAGACTTTCTCTAACGCCCGGATGTTCATGTAGGAGAAGAGAAGTCAAAGCATGTCTCAGTCGGCTTCCACGTCGACGTACCCAAACAGTTTCCGAAATGCTTTAATGAAGCACTCGCAGACACAGCAAGGGAGTCAGTCACGCGGCATGTCCGCATGTACTGGCCTTCACGTGATCCAATAGGCTCCGTATGTGCCCCAACAACAATACGCCCCGTATGGATCTCCATTCATGCAGTCGGCTCCCTTCGGGGGTCAGGCAGCATACCAGGTCCAGCCAATGGACTGGCAGCTCCGGCTGCTAAACCTTAGGGAACAGCCTTCGGCTTTCTCCCGGGAAATAACCGAGGCGGCATAGCCGGCTAAGGTTAAAAATGTGTTGGTCGGTGCCTACGACGGTACCACCAACCTGGAAGATCACCTAATGGCTTACACCAACCTCATGTACCTACAGGGGTTGGATGATGCCGCCTAGTGTAGATGCTTCCTGGCTACATTGAAGGGCATAGCCCAACGATGGTTCGGCAATCTGCCGACTGGGTGCATCAACAACTTCAAGACGCTTGCATACCTGTTTGCGTCCAACTTCTCAATGAACATCCCTGCAAAAAAGACAAGTCTCGACCTAGGGGCAATCCAGCAGGGTGACAAGGAAGGACTTCGGTCCTATGTCAGGCGGTTCAATCTGATGAGAATTTAGATTCAGGGGCTGTCTGATGAGGTTGCATACACAGATTTCTTCAAGGGTCTGAAGGATGGGTTAACTTTTAAATTTGACCTGGTCCGCAAGAGGGTAGCTGCCCTCCAAGAGGCGCTAATGGAGGCGGAGGCCTATATACAGGCAACTGAGCTCTGCGCCATCAAGCATCCGTCGGAACCCAAGCGGTCCGACACGAGAGACAGCCGGCCAAAAAAGAAGAAAAGAAAAGAAAGGAAGTCTGGGCGGCAGACCGATCAGGTCAGCCATCTCAGAAGAAGCAAAAGAAGTTGGAACCGTATGCCCCCAAGTACGAGTTCAACAAAAACTACTCCTCCATCGTCATGGAGATAAAGGACCGGTTAACAATTGAGAAACCGGCTGCAATGAAAAGCTTTGTCAAGAACAGAGACAAAAGCAAGTACTGCCAATTTCATGAGGACATTGGCCATGACACCAATGGCTGCTATAGCCTCAGACGGCTATTGGACCGTCTGGCTGATGAGGGGACTCTGAAGTCCTATTTGGTGAAGTCCCAAGACAACCCAAAATCAAGCGGGGGACAACCGTCCAAGAAACTGGCTGCTAGCTCTGAAATTGATGAAGAGCACATCTTCACTATAGAAGGCGGCTTCGCAAGCGAGGGTCCTACCGTCCGGGGCACCAAGGATAATATCAGAAAATTATCCAACCCAGAGGATGAGGGCCAGGCGTCGAAGGACACCTTCCTTGAGGTTTTCATCTCTGAGAAGGATAGGGGCGTGGTCAGGCGGCCCCATGATGACCCCATCGTCATCGAATGCAAAGTTGCCAATCAGCGAGTAGGCCGAATCTTAATCGATATCGGGAGCTTGTCTGACCTGATCAGCTACCAGTGCTTGACAAAGCTCAAGTATAAGCCTAACAACATGCACAAGGCTCCCCACCCCCTAGTCGACTTTGGGGGAGGGGTAGTGCATCCGGTAGGGAGGATTGACCTACCCATCCGGCTAGGAGACAAAGGGGAAGGGCGGCATATGGTTGTCAAGTTTTTGGTGGTTGAGGAATTGACCGCCTACAACCTTATTTTGGGTCGCCCCACCCTTAACGAGTCCAAGTCAGTCATCATCCCCTCTCTAATGATGATCAAGTTTCAGAGGGATGACGGATCAGTGGGTGCCCTAAGCGGGGACCAGAAGACGGCTAGGGAGTGCTATCTCTCAGACGTCAGGCCGACTGTTACTGCAGCGGGTCATAATAAGGACCCTGCTGACCTTGAGGACACAGAAGTCGCGCCTGCCCCCAAGGCAGCCGGCAAAAAGCGAAAGGCGGACCAAATGGCCCCCGCTAGAAAAATGAAATAGCAACCACTAGTCGGGGAAAGGCCGGATGAATCCCGACCCCAGCCGGCTGGTGAGAGCATCGATATCGTCCTGAACGACAGCCATCCGGACAGAACAGTCAAGGTTGGGACGGTTGCTTTTGAAAAGTTAGGGCCATATTTGCTCCAACTTCTGAAAGAATTCAAAGACATTTTTGCCTTTGAAGTGGAGGAGATGCCAGGCGTCAGCCCGGATCTAGCCGCCCACAAGTTAGCCGTTGATCCCAAAATAAAGCTGGTTAGGAAAAAGAAGAGGGATCATGGCGAGGAGAGGTCTCAGGCGGAAGCCGCCGAGGTCAAAAAGCTGCTCAATGCTGGGCTCATTCGGCAGTGCTACTATCCGGATTGGGTAGCAAACGTTGTTCTTGTCAAAAAGCCAAATGTGATCTGGCGGATGTGTGTAGATTACACAGATCTGAACAAGGCATGTCCGAAGGATAGCTATCCGCTTCCTAAGATTGATAGTCTGGTTGACTCTATAGCCGGTCATGCCTTGATGAGCTTCATGGACGCCTACTCAGGCTTCCATCAGATTCCCATATGGAAGAAGGATCAGGAGAAGACGGCCTTCGTCACTGATCAAGGGCTCTATTGCTACACGGTGATGCCGTTTGGGTTGAAGAATGCGCCTGCTACTTTTCAACGAATGATCAACACGGTTTTCATCAATCAAATTGGAAGAAACGTAGAGGCGTATATTGATGACATGATAGTCAAATCCAAGCTACAGGCGGATCACCTCGCTGACCTCCGAGAAACCTTCACCACCCTCAGGCGGCACAAGGTCATGCTTAATCCCAAGAAGTGTGTCTTTGGTGTTGAGTCTGGGAAGTTTCTGGGATTTCTGAGTGATCAAAGAGGCATAGAGGCTAATCCGGAGAAGGTACAGGCGGTGATTGACATGAAGTCACCCCGAACCGTCAAGGAAGCCCGGAAACTTACCGGTTGCCTGGCGGCATTAGGAAGATTCCTCAGTCGGTCAGGCAACAAGTGCCTTTACTTCTTCCAAGCAATCAGGAAGAGGTCTAGATTTGAATGAGGAGAGGAAGCTGAGGCGGCATTTCAGAGGTTAAAGCAACACTTGCACTCTTTGCTAAGGCTAGTGAGCCCCCTGCCTAAGGAGGTTCTCTACATGTACCTAGCCGTCTCAGATCACTCCCTTAGTGCTATTCTCCTTGCTGAGAGAGACGACAAACAGCTCCCGGTGTATTTCATCAGCCATATACTCAGAAATGTTGAACTCCGGTACCCAATGATCGAAAAATTTGGGCTGGCTCTTTACAAAGTAGTCAGGCGGTTGAAGCCCTACTTCTTGGCTCATCCGGTGATTGTCTATACTTATCAGCCACTCAAGCGTCCAATGACCAGTATAGAGTCATCCGGCAGAATGATCAAGTGGGCTGTTGAAATGCAAAGCTTGGAGATAACTTTCGAACCTAGGCGGGCAGTGAAAGGTCAGGCGATTTCCAACTTCATTGTTGAAATGACTAGGCCGGCACAGCCGGAGAATACCGATCAGATTTGGAAGTTATTCGTGGATGGTAGCTCTACCTTGAACGGCTGTGGTGCAGGCGTAATTTGCAAATCTCCGGAAGGGGATACGTATGAATATGCACTACGGTTCAAGTTTCAAGATTCAAACAATGAAGCTGAATATGAAGCCCTGCTAGCCGGTATACGCATGTGTAAGGCGGCAGGAGCAAGAAAAGTTGACGCCCGTTCTGATTCTCAATTGATCGTTAGCCAATTCAATGGTGACTATGAGGCAACCCATCCAACAATGATCAAATACATTTAGGCAGACAAAGATGAGGCGGGGACACTTGATGAATTCCATCTAAGTCAGGTGCCCCGGTCAGAAAATATTCAGGCGGATGCTTTGTCCAAACTGGCCTCGTCCGCCACTTGTGATGCGCCTAGGTCAGTCTTTTGGGAGGTCATGGAAAATAGAAGTATTGAACATGATCCC